TGGCACCGTGGACATCCAAGTACGTATCTTGCTACGTCTTCTCTCATACCTGGCCAGTACATACTTTGTCTTAGGAGATCGGTCGTTCTGGCCACGCCTGTATGCGCTAGCTGGTGACATTCTTCTATCATGTCGTGGCGCGACGATTGAGGTATGACAGCCAGCCAGCTTCCGTCGTTCTCTCGCCAGGTCAGAGTCCCGTAGGCATTCACTCTGAGTCGATCCCTCTGTCTGAGTAGTGTGGTTAGCTCCTTACTCGCCGTAGTTTGATCCACTTCTATTCCGTTGGTGATCACCTGTATTACTGTATTCAGCGTATCGTCCAACCTCTGCCTACGTGCAAGTCTTAGTGGGTCTTGTTCTACTGCATGCACTCCGTAAGCGACCTCGGGCAACTCAGACTCATCTTCTGGTCTCGATAACAAATCTGCCAAGACATTTTCACTTCCAGGAACGTGTGAGATCGTAAAATCGTACTCCTGAAGACGCAACATCCACCGTGACAACTTCCCCCGTGGGTCTCTCGCTGTCTTCAAAAATTGTAGCGGCTTATGATCAGTTTCGATGTGGAACCGCCGGCCGAGTAAATAAGGTCTCCATTTGTCGACTGCCCATACCATTGCTAAACATTCTTTTTCTATCGTTGAATACTTTCTCTCTGCGAGTGTCAAAACCCTACTGGCATACTCAACGATTCCCTCGTCCTGTCTTAGGACCGCACCTATAGCGTAGTCACTGGCATCTGTGCACACTGTGAACTGTCTTCCTGGCACAGGTAGTTTTAGCGTCATTTGTTGGTGGTCGAGCAGCTGTTTAATTCTGTCGAATGTCCTCTGCGATTCTTCCGACCAAACAAACTTTGGCTCACCTAGTAGCCTGTATAGAGGGGCTGCTATCTCATTGAAGTTCTTCACGAAGCGGCTATAAAACGCTGCTCTACCCAAGAATTGTCTCAGTTTTCTCTTTGAATTCGGGGCTGGAATCGTTTTAATCGTCAAAATTTTCTCCGGCAGTGGTTTAATCTCACCATTTCCCACTTTATGTCCCAACAGAGTAACATTCTTTTTGGCTATCTGGGACTTGGTTTTGTTGACGCGTAGTCCAAACTCTTCGATGCGTCGCAGCACGGCTTCTACATGGTTGACGTGATCGTTTTCGTTTTGACTGTATATGACGAGATCATCACCATAAACCTCCACGTTTTTCAAGTTCCTAAGTAATAGCTTCATCAGTCGTCTGAACGTAAACGGTGCACCTGCTAGTCCAAACGGCATGCGTTTAAATCGATATTGTGTCTGACCCACGATGAAAGCCGTCTTATCTCTATCACCTTGTTTTATCGGTATCTGCCAGTATCCTGAGCGAAGATCGAGAACCGAAAACACATTCGCGCCTTGTAGGCGATCTAAAGTTTCTACCACTGTTGGCATGGCACACGGTCTTAACTCTGTCATACTGTTTAACTGTCGAAAATCAACACAGAATCTATACTTCCCATTCGCTTTTTTTACTAACAGCACTGGAGAGTTGTACGGGCTATCAGCTTCCTCAATAATGTCATCTTTTAACATCTCTTGCACTTGTCGCTCCACTTCGCCTTCCAGATGACATGGAACTCTTCGCGTTGTAAATGACCTTACTTTCGGATCACTTAACGGAATTTCATGATTCACCTTATCGCAATAACCGTATGGGTCGCCATCTCCAGTGAACAGATGATCGTATTTACTAATTAACTCTGTCACATTGTGTACCGTCGGCAGCTTAATCGCTGCTATCTCGCTGGTCTCATACATGTTGATATGCCCGTATTTCGTGACCACCACGTTCGCTTGCGTGTCGATTATGGCACCAATCTCACGCAGAAAATCCGCTCCTAATATCGTTCGCTGTAGTTCGGGTACAACAATGAAAGGAAACGTCACCTCGCAGCCACCAACAACGACCGTACAGTTCGATCTACCCGTTATACGCAACACATACCCGCCTACTGTTTGTACTGTCAATGAACACGGGCTAACACTCTTACATAAATTCTTATCTATTAACGACACGGCCGCCCCTGTATCTATCAAACATACTACTTCTCGATCATTCACTCGCAACTTCGAATACAGAGCGCCTTTCTCAATAGCCCCCACTAAATCTAGGTTCATACGAAAGAAAGAACAAGCATTATACCGTCTGAAATTTTTTCTTTTCCGCCTTTCTGGGCAGTATCTTCTCCAGTGTCCCGGCTTACCGCATTCAAAACACCGGTCTTTTCTATCAGCCAACTTTAACGCCGCCACTTCCCGCTGCAATGCTTCAATTTTCTGCTCATACTCGTTTGGTTTTGGTTGGTCTATAGCGGCTACCGTTGTGCTCAGCAGCTGTCTGGTCACCTTCGCCAGCTCGCTAATATCCATCGGCTGCGTTGCGTTAACCAGTTGTAATCGCTGAGAAATGTGGTCTGGGACACTCTCGATGAATTGGGAAGACAGTAACTGCGCTTCTGATTCTTCATCTAAAGTGGGAAGTGCGCGTCGAAGTAGATTAGTCAGTTTCACCGCCAACACTAGCGGGTCTCCATCAGGTCCAAGCTTCATTGACCGGAACTGCTGCATTGCTAGCTGTCTGTCTGTTTCGCTGTCAAACTCGGACACTAGTCGTTCAACCAATTTCTTCCAAGACGCTGTGCCATTTGACCTGTCTACGCTGTCATATGCAGCCTTCGCTCGGCCTCTCAACAGCGTCCCCAAGACAACTGCCTTCGCTGCCTGCTCCTTGACACCCACCAGCTCAGCAACAGCCTCGAAGTCACGTAAGAAGCTCCTTATGTCTCCTTCTTCAAACGCAGCTGGCCACGGGATCTTCATTTTCTGGAGGCAGCGACACCAAATGTAACAACAGAAGACAAGGGCGAAGCAACAGATCGTTTTATTATGAAAATCAACACGTATTTATACATCTTTCAACTACATTATTATAGACAAGCGCAGTCATCTGATTGGTTGTTTAGGTAGACAAACGCAGGCTTCTGATTGGTTGTTTCGGGATTCCTTGACAAATAGAGTTCTCATCTGCGAATCATATTTTGCCACGTTAACTTTGCTGTGATTGGTTGTTGACTCAGGCTTGTTCATATTTTCTCACGGCCCATATTAGTGACCTAGACCTTAACGTAGATTAGTGCCAACCAATCGGCTAGCAGCCTGCTCTCACCACAATAGCACCAGGGCCAAGAAGCTTCATTAAATGAGCTGTAAACTGCAACAACTGAATATCTGAAGGAAACAAAAGACAAATTTAGCAAAGAAAATTTTCTTTATCGACAAAATCATCTTCGAAGGCTGTACAATCATATTTATACTTACTAAAAATATATAGTGGCCTATTATTGAGTAATAGGGGCTGACATAATTCATATAATTACTCAGAAGTGGCTTTAGAAGTGAAGATTAAAAGTTGTAAATTACATGGTACTCAACGGAACAAAGATAAAAATTTGATAAGGTTAAAATTCCTATTGAGTGAGTGAGAATAAAGGTAGCTCTGAGTATCAATTTAACGAGTGTGAGGAGGATGTGAAAATGTACAAAAGGAACATATGAGGGTGATAATAGTGAATTGATTATTAAAGTAAAAGAAAACTAAAAGGAAAATTAAAAAAGGAAAAGAAAACATCAAACTTTCTAACAGGGGACGATTAGTGAAGACGTTAAGACCAAGGTAGAATAAGAGACTGGACGAACTTTTTATGTATACAGAGTTCAGGGCTATATTGACGAATCGCCAGCGCCTTCAACATACACAAAAGCCGAAAACTGACTCCATGTGTACCATTTAACCTCATCTTGTAGATGATCTTGAAAAACGACTCTGGTGGAGTTGTGTGGCCTGAGTTCACTAAGTGCTGGAGAATAGAGCCAGTAATTGTCTTGCATCATCCTTTTGCTAACCATCCCGGATAATGTTCATAGATGAGTTTGGAAAGTGTGCGCTTTGTGTGGCCAATATAACTAGCTCCGCAGGAGCAGCAGGTGAATTTCTAAACATACATTGTGGTGACCCAAAGCGGCAGTTTATCCTTCACACATCCAGTGATCATTCGTCAACTGTAGAAATTAACTCAGCCATAAAGAAGGCATTCCTCAGCTATCTGCATAAGCAATTCTTCAGGATCTCAGCTGCAGTATCACCTTTAAATTCAACGCTCATAAATAGCAGTTTCTTCAGCATTGTCCGAGTTCTTTGAGGCGTTTCCATTAACTTCATGTCTTTCTGGATAAATCTTGGAAGATATCCATTCTTTAATTGAATTTTAGATTTTCCCATCGATCGATTGGACTGAAGTGCTCGGTCTCAGGCTGACATGTCGGCTTCTAATGCAGATGCTTCGACGATGTCTAGGCATTTAATTGGAATTTAATTGGTGGATGGTGACTAGCAGTGGAATCCAGGATGGACATTTTGTACTATTTGGCACTCGTCAGCTCGATGTACCTGAATTTCCCAATGGGTGATGTTCCCATTGAGCCTCGAACCCAGTGCCCATAGTTTGAAACGCTAAAGCGTTATCCACTAGACACGTCAACCTGGCACCAAGCACTTCAGTCCAACCAATCGACGGGAAAATCTAAAATTCAATTAAATAATTAACATGACCCGTTGTCCAACAGGTGGCTCTCGTGGCTCAAGTGGTCTAGTGGATAACGCTTTGGCTGTTGAAACTATGGGTAATGGATTCGAGCTTGGTGGTAACATCATCACTCACTGTCTGGGAAATGCAGGTACATCCAGCTGGCGGATGAGTCCCAAATAGGACAAAATGCGCGTTGTCCTGGATTCCACTGCTAGCCACCATCCACTAATTAGATATCCATTCTTTATGAAAATTGTCTTCGGAAGAGGGATCACGTCTGGATTTGCTTTTATCATCAAGAATCGGGAGCACTTTGGATTTGTACTCACTTTCGTTCATATTTCATTTTATTTTATTTTATTATCTACGCTATTAAAACTTTATATATATTGCATAATTTGTTATCTAAAATTTACAATTCTAATGAAACATCTTCAAGTTTATTCCTATTGTTGCTAAGGTAATTTGCCATACACACTGCGATTGTACAGGTTGAAAATGATATCAGGGAAAAGATTAACCTTTCATTGAACATCTTTTCTTCTAAATAAGCCACAGTATAAGTGAAAGTTATGTTAAATTACAGAATATAGTAATGTATTTCTAGTATGAGCAACTGATACATGATTGTTGATCCAGGTATATAATGAGATCAGTTTTAATATTCGGCGAATATCATGAAACAACTGATTAGATAGAACTGCTGTGATACACTCATGACATTTAATCCTGAGTACCAACACATATGTGAGAAAATAAATAATTTTATACTTATTTCCTTAGCTTTAAAAATCCAGATCTAAGCATAGCACCAAATTCTTCACAGTTCACATCTTGACGATCATTCATTCGAACTGAATCCAATAGAAGGCAGGCTTCTTCTTTAGAAGTTGGACCAACTGTCTTTGACATACGAAATGCTATCTCTTCAGGATTTAAACGTCCATCACCATCTCGATCAATAGTTCTGCAAGCAAACAAAAAGAGAAATAAAAGTCTATTTATATACTAACAAAGTTGAATTTTTAAAAAAGCTTGAAACTTTGTTTTAATGCGTTACTGTAGACACTTGCGTCACAAAATATATTTTTGTAACAGGCCCCTACAGACTTCCATCAACACCTCCATTTGCTGCCTAGATACTGGAGATAAGAAGACGCTGAGGGATAGACAGTGCAGAGGATTAGCCCACAACGAGCGTGTTAACAACTGTGCAGAAAGGAAATGCAGATAACATACTGGTTTGTTTATTAGACGGATACATCACACAGTGAAACAATATTATTTACTGGATGACGTTTCGAACACAATCTATTATTGTTCATAATCATATCATCAGTTATAATCACACGACTATGAAACTTGAGTTGTATAGTCAGTCTTCTTTGTTCTCTCCTACTTGTCGTCGTCGTCAGGGTAGTAGAATTTTCCAAATGTCTGAGTGGACAGGCGTTGAATCATTTTTATTACACGCGCTGGCAGTTGATTCGATTGACAAAGCTTCCGTTATCAATCTTTCCCTCCACCGCGCTGTTACATTAGGTTTTAAAACTGTCATCTTATCCCATCATCCTATGCTATATGGTTGTGTGTGATTGCATGTAGTGAGTGCTATAGCTGAACTATTCTCCAGATTTCTTATTGTATTCGGGTCAACTAATTTAGATTTTGCTAGATTTTTATGCTCGGCTAGTCTGACAGACTGCACCTGTTCTACTACTTTGATCTATGTATTTGACCTGACAATCATTCCAGTAGGGTATTAGATAAACAAAACAATTTAGCTAATCTAGTCTTAAGTAATCTAAAAACCACTGCCGAAGTTTTCTGTGATTTTCGTTACAATGTGGATAATGTGAGTTTGTAAATGGCATGTGTAGAGGTCAATGATAATAGCGTTTCGTTCCTGTGATAAATTAGTCAGAAAGCATTTAGGGAAATGTAAAAATACAGTTTTTGTTCAGCGAAGAAATTTCTTTTCAACGACTTCATTTTCAAGCTGTACAGTCGTATTTATATTACAGAAAAAGGGTTATTAAGTGAGTGGCACTAAATAATTGCTCAGTCAATGTACGTATATATGTGATAAAAGTTATAAGGGGTAGAGTTGAAGTGGATAAATTACAAAAATATTAATGATTGTTCTATAACAAAAATGCTTTTGTCCACATCTATGTGCATTTACTCTTTTACTTGCTCTTGTGGAGCTGTTTATATTGGACGTTGTAAGCGTAATCTCCGAAAAAGTGTAGCTGAACACTATCCTGTTTGGTTAATGAAAGGCGAACGTAGAACTGCAAAGTCGTCTATTTGTGATCACCTGTTAGAGTCTGGTCATTTAGCCCCATGTGATTCATCTTTCAAAGTTATATACATGGCAAAATCGAATCGATCCAAAAGTTTACGTTTTCTTCACTTATGCATAGCAGAAGCTTTAGCTATACACGAACAGAAACCTAAATTATGTGTTCAAAAGCGTTTTGTCAAATCCCTTTCTTTACCTTGGTGATATTAATGTTCTTTCTAGTTTTTATTTTATTTTACCACTTGAATTCTTTCCACTTCACTTCACATCTTCATTCTTATCGTAATCGTACTCCTAATTTTCAAAATCTTTAGACAACACTTGACAATTTTGTTATAGAACAATCTTTAATATTTTTGTAATTTATCCACTTCGACTCTACCCCTTATAACTTTTATCACATATATACGTACATTGACTGAGCAATTATTTAGTGCCACTTAAAAACCTTTTTCTGTAACATAAATACGACTGTACAACTTGAAAATGAAGTTGTTGAAAAGAAATTTCATCGCTGAACAAAAAAACTACTGTGTTTTTACTTATGAATAAATGGGTATTTTTCGAAATGCAAAAATAAATAATGATAGTAATGACAGTAGTAATAATAATAATGAATGTAATAATAGTAGTAATATTAATGACGACATGCATGTCAAACATTTGCATGATAACGACAACAATAAAAAATCTTAATCAACTGTAGTAATTCCATAGAAAGAGAGAACCTCCGAAAACTTACACAGAATTCTTAACAATGCTGAAATGAAAATGGTATTCAAACCTACAAACTCAATTAGAAAAAGGCTGTGTCGGTTAAAGGATCCTGTGGAGCTTTTAAAACAAAACAATTTAGTTAATCTAATACCCTGCCTGCAATGATTATTAGGTCAAATACATAGATCAAAGTAGTAGAACAGGTGCAGTCTGTCAGACTAGCCGAGCATAAAAATCTAGCAAAATCTAAATTAGTTGACCCGAATACAATAAGAAATCTGGAGAATAGTTCAGCTATAGCACTCACTACATGCAATCACACACAACCATATAGCATAGGATGATGGGATAAGATGACAGTTTTAAAACCTAATGTAACAGCGCGGTGGAGGGAAAGATTGATAACGGAAGCTTTGTCAATCGAATCAACTGCCAGCGCGTGTAATAAAAATGATTCAACGCCTGTCCACTCAGACATTTGGAAAATTCTACTACCCTGACGACGACGACAAGTAGGAGAGAACAAAGAAGACTGACTATACAACTCAAGTTTCATAGTCGTGTGATTATAACTGATGATATGATTATGAACAATAATAGATTGTGTTCGAAACGTCATCCAGTAAATAATATTGTTTCACTGTGTGATACATCTAATAAACAAACAAATATGGAATTACTCACTACCACAGTGCCCAAGTTTTACACATATGTAGAAATGGAGACGGACTGAATGTACACATAGGAGATCTACAAGTCAAACCACATGCCAATCAGACCCTCTAGTAGAAATGAAGGAGATCGTTTGAGGAGGAAAGGAAAGCCTGAGAGTAGAGATGTGGAACCATTTGAAAGTGACGATAGAGAATCGACAGCATTAGAAATGTGTCACTAATGCTCCACTCCGAAATGAATGAATGAACAATCTGCCTTTCTCAAAAATGCTGTTTGCATGAGCTTTTGCTAGTTAGGCATTACTACGCCATACTATCTGGATTTCAGATACAATCAATTTTTGATAAGATTAAAATAAGAATTCCATGAAATCATAAAATCTTAGAAACCACTTCTGACCCTTATGATTACAACTGACTTCAAAATATCATGATGAATGATGCCCCAAAAATTAATGGTCATGAATTAACTAAATATTAATGTGGATCCATATTAATTTATCTATTAGATGGATATATCACACATTGAGTGAAACAGTATTATTTTACTCAATGACAATTGATGTTGAACACAATTTATTATTGCTCACAATCATATCATCAATCCTAGCTACACAAATTCATAACTTGAGTTTTATAATTTCCTCTCCAGATGTCTTGGTTGACAGGAGTTGATTCTATATATAAGGATGCCGTTAACAATCTTTCCATCTACATTGTTGTATTGAATTTTAAGCCTATCATGTGATCTCAACCTGTTGCATGGTTGTATGTGATTGCATATAATGCTGCTATAGCTGAAATATTCGCTAGATTTCGTGTCTTGTTAGGGTGTGCTAATCTAGACTTCGCTAGAGTTTTGTGCTCCACTAGTCTGACTGACACAGTTCTGCTACTTTGGCCTATACATTTAATCTGACTGTTATTTCAGGATGTTGGGTAAACTGAATTGTTTTATTCAACTGGCTTCACAGGATCTTTTAACTTAAAAATTTTTTTCTAGGTGAGTCTGTGGGTTTAGAAAAGCAAAACGGTAGCAAAGAATATCCAAAATAGGAAATGATTTGTGCAAGAGAAGCTTTATAACTTGATAATAACCCTGAAAAATCAATCGGAAATTTTGTACAAAAAAGTAAGAATGAAATTAATAACAATAGTAATAATAATAATAATAATAACGGTAGTAATACTGTCAGTAATAATAATAATAATATTAGGTACTACATCTATGACAGACTTGAAAGGAAAGATGACAACACCGACAATAAGGAAGTTAATCATCAATCGTAATTCCACACAAAGAAGAAATCTTGGAAACCTTACGTGGAATTATCAACAATGCAGGAATAAAAGTGGCATTCAAACCCACTAACTCAATTGCAAACACACGTTTCCAGTAAAAACGTCCTGTGGAGCTAAATAGACAAAACAAATTGGTTTATCCAATACCCTGCTTGAATGATTGTCAAGTCAGGACGACAGATCTGAAATCTAATATAAGAGCGTGGAGGGAGAGATTGATAACGGCATCCTTATTTATCGAATCAACTGAAAATATGTGCAGTGGAAATGAACTAACACCTGTCCACTCACACACCTGGAGAATTCTACTACGCCTACGACGAATAGGAAAGAATAAAGAGAATTATAAAACTCAAGTTATGAAGTTGTATAGTTGTAATTGACGGCATGATTGTGAGCAATAATTGTTTTCGACATTAATTGTCACTGATTAAATAATACTGTCTCTCTCCCTATGTAATATTACCCACCTAATAAATAAATTAATATGGAATAACATACTACGATAGTGACCAATTTTTTCATATGTATTAACATGGCTGTTTAGTTTTGTATAGCTGTGAGTATATGGATTTGCATTTGCTCATAGTTCATAAGTTCTTATTTGTACACACTGTCTTAAGAGGAAATTTAGACATTCATGTAGGTGGATGACAACCTTATTATACATCCGGTACCAACTTATTTTAAGTTTTCTAGTCAAAAGAACAACTCTAATGCATAAAACTTGTTTTACGGGAAATTTCTAAGCGTGAGAAAGAAATATAAAGGATGTCAGTTAAGAATCATCACAAAAATATTAATTTCCATAGGTAGCAGAATATTTGAATGATCAGAAAATATGTAGGCTGGAGAAAGAATCAGAACGGCAAGCATCCTACTTTAAAGGACAGTCTGCATCATCATTTTGCACCTGGAAATTTGATGCCACAGGTAAACAACAATGTAAAGACTATAGGAAATATAAGCTGGAGAGAACAAAGAAATTTCACGTCACCATCATAATAAAAACTATTCTTTTGTGATGCGATTCGTTTAATCCTCAAGAGCCTCATTTTTTATCTTCTGATATTAGATGAGTTTTGTTATAATGACCCTGTCCGCACAAAGAATGCATCTCTACCCAGCCTGGACTGGCAGTGGGTGATTTCATGAGTTAGTGTCTTGATGTGACAACTACCCCTCTCTTCGCATTCATTACGGCTTACACCTGTATGGCATACCGGAAGTAGCAATACGTTTCACATATCACATTAATAACAGCTGACGAGATAAACTGAGCTTTCTCATGCTATGAATAATGAAGTCACTCCTCTTTTTACTGACATTTTCGAAATCAAATCAAATGCCTTCAAGATAATAAACTAATAAGTAACACAGGAGATCAGTAAAGATAGTTTAACATTCATATATTCACACTGATTAACATAAGTTTTTATGCATTAAAATCTTGGTTTTTCAGTTTATTAGCTTTCAGATGGCCAGTCGTAAGTTATCCTTTGAAAGTGTGTAACGACGGTCTTCTTAATCATTCAGTTAGATAAAACCCGGTTGGTTTGCTATGTAATGCAATTTTTCTCAAGCAACCATCACTCGGATACGCTACTAATAAGTGACAAAACTGGGTCAAAAAGCACAAGTTCATTTTATTCTAACTAACATAACAACTCAATGAAGATAAGAAGTGTCAGCAAGCTGGAATATGTGAAACGGATAAAGATCAAGTTAGTAAACAATACGAAAAACGAGCAGATTAGTGAAGGCTTATATAACGTTGTGTAATGAATGCTACGCTATGATAACCCAGTTAGTGATTTAATAAAGTGAAATATTGCATCTTTGACTAGTCGTCCTCAAAATATACATGAAAGATGTTTGAATTCCCTTTGATCGTAAATGTGAGCTTTTATTTTTTAAGAAACAGTAGCAAAATTCTTGACTTAGGCCATTGTAGAAAGTTCCATCTTCAAAACGTAAATACCACAAGAGACGAAGGACCACCTTGTTTGTTGTTTTTATTACTGCAGTCTATAACATCAACGAAACACCCAACTGACTGTTAGTGCCCTGAAAGTGTACCATTCTAAACTACTTAATCGCCAAATCTGCAAACTTCTACGGCCAGAAGCTTCTTGAAATCGCCTCTTAGATTAGATAATGATGCCTTTGATATATCAGACTCCATTTAAAATAAAAAGATTATTGTCCCACGTTTTGAGATGTGCCCGAAGATTTTACCTCGAAAATTCTTCAGTGTGCCCGAAGAAAATGCTAGCTGTATTAATCAATGATTATAGGCTTTTGAATACAGGAAGATGTGTTAAAATGAGTGAAGTAAATAGCAAACCAAGTCAAGAATACTTCTGCAATGTTCTATATGCTTTCTTTAAAGCTTATCTACTACCCACTTTGTTCATTCTTAATCCCTATAGTTTTGAATTACCAATCGTTTCCTTCATTTCATCTCTCTGTGTGTATTCCAGCCAGCTTTTAGTCTAAGAAGGGTATCAAGTGATCATTTCTTAATAGTACGAAGTAGTATAAACCTAAATAATGGTTACTTTTGGTCGCAAACGAGAAGTTTAACTTCTATTGCAACGCATAGTACATTTTGTATGAGGTTCAAAAACTTAAGTAATCCCTTTTTTGCACTACTTTCTCATATTAGTCCCGTTATTATACTTTAACAACACACTCGGATGTTAATTTAATTTTAAACGTTTAAATGTATATATATATATATATCCCGAAACTATAATTGGTTTATTCGATAGATTTTTTCGAGATAACTGCAAAAAATATATTAACATGCCTAATAGCGGTGCTACTGGCGGGATAAAGATAATTTTAGTAATTTTAATGTCAAAAACAAACCGAAATAGTGTTTTCAGTTCTTGGCTGCCGTCAGGATTTTCCAAAGCTCGTCCGAGAAGTTCAATAAATAGTGGCAGTCCTATAAAGTCATTGGAATCGGATAAAGTCCTTATGGTGCCCTATTGAGAGTAATTATTACAGATAGACTGATTATATCTATCTACTGCAATATTATCTTTATTTACGCCTATTCCAAGAGTCATGAACAAAGCAGATACATCTTCGACATCTAAAATTCCATCTCCATTCCTGTCAATATACATAAAGGCTTGAGAAAGCTCGCTGTAAAGTGTGTCTGAAAGACCGCCTTCTCCCAACATTTCATATCTGTGGGTAAATAATCACCATAGTTACCAAGGCTTTGTATCTAATTTCCAATACCCTTTTAACATGCTTGTATAGACCTTATGACTTAATAATAGTCACTTCTTGTTATTCCAGACTATTTCTAAGTTTGCGGAGGATTCCAGCACAGAGTACTACCTTAACTACTGCAGCTTTTGTAAATACTTTAGTGCATTAGATTATTTTGAAGCGAATATGTTGTGTACTGTTGGAACTTGCAAATTTCGTTTCATCTATCAGCCTGCTGATGAAATCCACAACAGGAAACTATCCTTAGCCGTTTGAAAGGGAATCCAGATAACCAGCTGACTAAATAAGATAAACCAAGGCAGATGACCGAAGAGGAAGAGAGAATGAGACTAGTACGCACACAGCTGAGACATTTATTAAGCATTAGCGAATTGCAAAAAACATGGGGAACATTTACAATACTAGGAAAGCCCCCTAAAACTGAAGCACTTATGTGGTGTATGCTACTGATGAGACTTATCAATAATATGTAAAAGGACGTTCTTCGGCTTAAAAATAATACATAGCAGGGGGACACATTTGATGCTAGAGAAAGCAAATGATTCAGCATTACGTGGAAACATGGGAGACATGGGAAGTACACAAAAAAACATCATATGAAGGCCAGAAGTAGCACAACACGGAAGATCCGTGCAAATGGCGATGTGAAGTCGAGGTGTACATAATTTCCCTACAGGGCAATACCAAATCACAAATAAGCATTCTCTTACCAAGCCTCTCCTCTTCCACCGTTACGCTTTCATATAGATATGTTCAGAACTTTAGTTCTTGCTTAGCAGCTTAGACTTCTTTTGGGGTATTAGCCACGCGGAAAAGCAGTGATTTCCACAGGTGGAAAAACCTAGAGGAAAAGAGCTAAGACTGCACCTTAATTCCTGCCGTCTGATGAACAGTATGAGTGGGTACCACAATGCCTAAATCTGGGTACTTTAGACTGATAACCATCGTCTTTAGTTTTGCTTCACTTTAGGATATTCAGATCTAAACCTCGGGATCAATGATCATACGATCAGCATTTCACCCCAATTATGGGTGTCGTATACTCCCTTAGTACTCATTTGTAGAAACCTACATCTTATAAAAATCCTGGTAAGGTTACAACTATGAGAAAGGTCCAGGCGAAAATGTGTCCAGATGTCTGTATGTGGAGTAGACGTCTTTGGACGTTTCGGCGGTGTCTCCTGGATGGTCAGAGCTTGTTTCTTGCTTTTCCATCATGAGAGGTCTGAGATCACACTGTGTCTCTGTACGGGATAAAATGGTTTCACATATGCAGCGGCAGGCTGCTCTAATTGTGTGCAGATCCGATATGTCTAAATTTCGAAAGCTAACCCACTTTTTGGCCCTATTCTACAGTTTGGTCAACTCTGAGACCCACCTGATAGGTTTTCTTTCATTTCGCACAGCCTCCGACAGCTCTGCATTTTCCCTCGTAAGTAGTGATTGCGAGCCCAAGTTGCAAAGAAGACCATTTAATAAAAGCAGGTAGAATTAGTGAATCAAGCACTTCTCCTTCAAATACTCCGATGATTATCATGCCACGCACACAGAACACTGAGTTCACTACGTGAGGAATATCCTACTGCCCAGGATAGCCCAAATCAAATATAAAACGGACTGTTGACTCCTATTTACAAAACTTTCCATAGTATGACTTTCCAAGACACAGGCCTAGAAACAAGGTGTGCACCGGAATAGTTTGGAAGTTCATTTACAAAGCGCACTGGAGGGTAAGTTAAGCGGCAGAAATCAATCAAGCACAATAAAGGGCATTCATCATCCGGTGCCGTCTAATGAATAAAAAGGACCCTACGAACGATAAAAAGATAGGGATCGATTACGAGAATGGCGCCAGCTGATGAGTTTGTAAGGTGAGTGGAGTAGAGAGATGTTACATAGTCATCTCCAGTTGCTTCCTGAATGGAACAGTGTGAAAAACTCACATGGTCATGGATTTGTTTCCATGGTGAGCAACCTACTTGACAGTGGTTTTTCAGGTGTTGTACAGCTTTCACTGGTGAAGACTCGTTTTTATGAGGTTTTACGTGATACACTGTATATTTATATCCTCTGACGTGAAGTGGCCCGCAAATTAGTGTATTGCTCATAAATGAAACAATCCTCGAGAGCTGCTCGTCAATCTGCCTACTTTATTTCATCACATTAAAGGAATTTCTGCATGTTATGCGTGAGTTAAATAAGAAGTGTACAACGAAGGTGACAAATACGAATTAATCTACTATAAGCTATCACGTGATAGCTTCTGGCATGGCTGCTTATTTCACGCGTAGTTACAGTGTGGTGTTTAGGCCCACAGTATTGGTCGTGAGAAAAATAAGAACAAAGACTGATTCAACAATCAACCACAGCAGACTTTGCGTAGGCGGATACAATTGGCAGACAGATAATCTGAACTTCAATAAACGGCCACAAAGAGATAAAAGATAAACATTCGATGAGAAACCACCAACTAGAAGACTGTGTTTCTTTGCCCATAATAATCTATAATGATGTACATGAAAATCTTTAAATATGTGTTGATTTCGTAAATAAACAATCTGTTTCCTGGCCCTTGTCCTCTGTTGTTACAACTGCAATGGTTGATAGGTTTCAATGATTTATATAGTTCCAATATCCAATATCGTTTTTACAAGCTAGTATAAACTAATTCGATTTCTTTGTGTTCGCTTATTGATTGTAAGATATAGGTTCCTGATCTTCGGTAAACTTCTGCGTAGCTCGTCTGGCCACTCGACAGTCGTACCTTTGGTTGACTCCAAAAGGAGTTGTGCTGGGATTATATATGTGGTTTGTAGCACGAGGTGGGTAAAGACTGTTACTACTGCGAATGGAGTTGACCCTTTTACCAGTTAGTCCTCCGATGTCACCGTCAAAAGAAAAGAGATAATAATAATGGATATAATTAGTGAAGTTATTTGGACTAAAAGATAGCAAAAGAACAGTCAGCTGATTAGTTGGTAGACTTTTTATTAAAAAGCCGCTTACTAATGCTCATGAGGTGATCTTCTGACGCATCTGCAAACATAATAATAATTACTATTTATATTTCGTACAAATGGATGAGTTTACAAGAAATGCATGCCATGTTTACAGGCACTACCAGTAATGTTATAGGCTAAATTCCTGGAGTACCATAAAATAATACATTTTAAAAATTTCAATTCTTCATGTAACCCAAATATCGCTTGAAATTAAGTCACGCGTAGATAAAGGCTATCCCGGTCCAGAACAAACAAGAAGCCGGTCACTGTTTCTACGGTACTATTAATAAACAAATCAATAATTATATAAACAACGAACCTTAGCGGTTTCAAGAGTACAGAGCACAGCGCTTAACAGAAAGCAAGGTACCGCTATCAGAGCGGAATAACGTTAAAGCCAAAATTGTGAACTAGCCGGAATCAGACACGACCGTTCAGGTAAGCAGTCAGTAGAAGAAAGAACCCAAGTAAGTCAGGGTACAGAACAGAGAGCAGTTAAGAGATAGACAACATAGGCACAAAGATAGAATTTAATAGGCTACTTAACCAGGTAGGCTGATACAGATGAAGATCAATAAATAAGATAAATTCAACAGAATAGTACAAAGTAAGACATGGGTCAGCAAAAATAACAGTTCACAAAATACTCTGATTGGGTCACGAGTTCGACCGTCGGACTAAACGAATCGATGTAAAAACACATATACACAGTACATTAAACAAGGGGGGATAGACACGTTAGACATGGATAATTGGGTCGCAACAACGCTAGGCTGATCCGGGACAGGTTGACTTGATTCAAGGATAGGAATTGAATTGATCTTACACCGACTCCGGAATCCGATTAGGATTCTATGATTCATGTTACAGAGAATAACCCTCGTGCCCGGCTCTCTTGCAAATGACTTCCCTCTAGTAGGCATATCTTACGTATATCGCGCTTCACCTCGCCGTTTCTCGTTCTTATTGTAACGGTTCTGACAAGTCCGTCCGCGGATTGCTCGCATCCGGCAATAACTCCTAGCGGCCGACGGTCTCTTGTCGAAGATTCTGGCGCAATCATCACCACATCCCCGGGGGATGGATTTTTAGATTTTGTGATCCATTTCTGTCTAGTTTGAAGTAAGTGTATATATTCTCGCTTCCATTTCCGCCAAAACGAAGCTGTTAGATGCATAGCCTGGCTCCATCTGAAGTTGTATACCTGGACAGTATCTGATGGAGTCTCCATACTAATGTTTCGACAGACCAGTAGTAGGCGGTTCGGCGTGAGAGCTAGATTATCTCTACTATCCGATGTTGATGGTACAAGCGGCCGGTCATTTAATATGCGTTCTTTTTCTGCCATAAACGTCAATATAGTTTCATCATTTAGATTCTGCCCGTTGCATAATGCTTGCAGAATAGCTCTCACTGATCTAACCATTTGTTCCCACACTCCACCTCTATGACTCGCATTTGGAGGCTGGAAGTGCCACTGTATCTCTATGGACAAAAGAGTATCATTAATCTTCTTCTGATTCCATCCATTCACTAGCTCGTTCAGTTCTCTGTTTGCAGCAACAAATTTGGTCCCAACTATAGATGGTGTGACACCTGGTAACTTCGGTTTAATGTCGAAAAATGTGGCTGGCTCTGCATAGGTTGCAACAATTTGGAACTTGACTTGACGGTTCAAGGCCGTGCAGTCTTAATACTGGAATCTGTATTGGACCTAGGACTGAAATGCTCACGTGACTTATCATTTTCCACACACATTTCCAAACAAGTGTCAAATTCACGCAGACTTATTGGCCTTCTACTCAGGAACTTCTACGGTAATGAGTCCAGAATTCTGTTGTACAAGGTTTGTGTGCGTCCTTTATTTGGTTGCTGTTCATGCATAGTAGTAAACGCACAGAGGACAAATTGAAAGTCGAGGGAGTGCAGAGGTACTTCACGTCAAAATTACTCGGAGCCGAAATTGG